ATGAGGTGTGACTATGGCACAATCCTTCTCCATTTCTCCATCCTGTCAGGATCTTGGGCACACACACATGCCTGGTATGTTTTTCAAGTTGCTAGGTTTGGGAATCGAACTGCAGTTGGTTATGTGGCATCCGGCTCCCTTCACCACCAGGCCGTCGGCTGGCCAGATCCCCTTTTACAATATCCAGTACATCAGATACTCCCTGGTTGCACATTTTATGGAGAATGACCTTCCTCCCAAAGTCCTTGATCCTCCAGTCTAGAGAGTTTCTAACTTCTGTCCTGGGACTTTCCTTCTCCTCCCTTTGGTTGGATTTTCTGCCTTCTAGGTCCTAAATAGTCCTTTCTTGACATCTTAATTTTGGAAACTATCTATCCTTCAGGTGCTTTCTAAAATATGTGGTAGATATCTGAAAATATCTTTAGCCTACTCACAGATGTCACTAGTATTTTGCCTGAGAGTAAATTCTATGTTCTATTTTTTTTTCTTTTTTTCCTTAGGAGGAAAGGGGAGAGACGGAGGTGATGGTTTTTGACAGGGTCTCATCACCTTGAGATCTCCTGACCCAGCCTCCCAGTTAGCTAGAACCACAGACAGACCACAGAGACTGATCTGATTAGGTCAAGCCAGAAACCAAACCCAGCTCCCTGGCATCTTCCCACAGCCTCTGCCATTGGCTGCAGTGCCCTCCCACTGTGACCAGGCTTCTGCTTCATTGCATTTCAGCTTCGTGGGATTCCATGGAGAATTTCTATGCCATTCTGATACCTGGTCTCTTAAATGCGACTTTTAAAATTTTTCTTCCGGAGGGGTCGGGGTCGGCAGGTGGCATGGTAGTTAAAGATGCTGGATTCCCACATGATCAACCACGTTTTGAGTCCCAGACCTGGTGGCTTGCTTTCTCTCTGTCCCTCTCTGGTCAAATTGAAATAAACAAATGAATAAATAAAGTTCAATAAAATAATTCTTAAAAAAAATTTTTTTTTCTTCGGGAAACTTTAAATATCTTCTTTTATTCCTGATTTTCTTTGATTTTGTGATGATGTGCCTCTTGGTGTGGATTTATTATTATTTTAATAGTTTGCTATAGGGTGCATGCGTTCTCCAGAGAGAGAGATGAAAAGAGAGGACTCACCCTCTGGAAGGATGATGGCCACACTGCAATCCCTTTCCCTCCATCTTCCTCTTGGGATTCAGGTGTTTTTCGAGTCACTGTGAAGAGCATTCATCCTGTGCAGTCGGTGATGTCTAACCAGCACCCTAACTTCCACACCACCTGCTGGTCCCAGTGCTGATCTTTTTAGGGTTGATGTGCTGAGCATTTGATGAATCCTTTCGATAATATGAGAACATGTCTTTTAGAACTGGAAAGTTTTCTTGAATCATTCATTTTCTTTTCTCCATTCTTCTGTTCTCTTTTCCTATAATTCCTATTTTTCAGATGTCAGACCTCTGAGATTAATTTTTTTCCTCTCCATTTTTTTTGTTCTAACAACTCAGATATCATCAAATTTATCTTTTATTAATTTTTACATTTTAGTCATTGCTTTTTAGTTTTCAAAAGCTCTTCTGTATTCTGAATATCCTTTTACACATCTTTCTTTCATGGGTGTGATATTATCTTCAGGAACTGCAGGTAATAAAGTTTTCTGCAACTTTTCTCCTCCTCGCATGTTTTTAAAAAATATTTTATTTAACTTTATTTATTTATTCATTCATTCATTCATTTATATGACAAGAGAGAGGGAGAGAGAGAGAAAGCCATCAGGTCCAGGACTTGAACCACAGTTAGCCATGTAGGAGTCTAGCATCCTTAACCACCACGCCACCTGCCTGCTCCTCTCCTCACGTTTTTCTTAGCTTTTTTTCCCCCCATCTTCCTTAAATGTGTTGATTTTTGGTTGTCTGTGTTTACTTAGGAGTGAGGCAAAACATGCTCCTGGTAGTGTGTGGTAGAAGGGAGCTGAAGGGGCTCTGCTCACTCCTCTCACAGCCTCCTGCTTCCAGGGTTTGGTCCTGCCTGCCCTGTCATACTCCTAAAATTTACCTTCCTCTTTCCTGAGCTTATTCATTTTATCTCAAAGCCTTTACTTTTTTTTTTTTTTTTAAGGTTTTTGTCACAGAGTGCATGACTCGCTGGAGTCAAGAGAGAAGGAAAGTGAGAAATCACCCCTGGAGGAGATGGCCATGATGCAATCCCTTCTCCTCCATTCTCGTGGGATTTGGGGCACACATGCACACATGCCTGGAGTGATTTTCAAGCCAACAGGCTTGGTACTCGAACTGTGCTTGGCCATGTGGGTCTCCAGCACCTTAATCACCGCGCCACCTGCTGGCCCTGCACACCTCCCTTTTCTAATTCTTGGATTCCATGTCATCTCTTTGCAGCCTTTTTTATCCTCTTATTTTGTTCAGGCTCTAGTACAAAGTACCAAGGACTACATAGTTTACAAACAAGAGAAATGTGTTTCTTTCAGTTCCAGAGGCTAGAAATCTGAGCTCAGGGTACCATGACCAGGATCTGGGGGGAGGGGAGGCTCTTGGGGGAGAGGGGGCGCAGTCTTTTCAGTGCATCCTCACGCGTGGGAGTAGGTGCAAGCTTCCAATGGCTGAGGCTTGTTTCCAAGAGCACTAATCCCATTCACGAAGGCTCCACCCTCAGGAATTACTTCCTGCCCAAAATGCCCTACCACAAAACACCATCCCACTGGGAATCAGATTTCGCCAATGAATTTTGGAGGGACACACATTACAACCTACTATTATCTCACTTACCATATTCAATATCTATTTGAAAGGCTAGGCAAGCCAGCACAACCCAAAGAATGTGAGGTATGTTAAACTTAATTGGCCCAATGAAACACAAGGAATGAGGCCTGTCGTGTCCCCCAACTTCTTGACCATGACTTCCCAAGAGACGGCTGATCAGATTCTGTATCGCCTTCAACAGTGATAGAAAACTTAAACAACACTAAATTAATTCTTACCCTTTGCTTACCAGTGTTCCCAGAATCTAGAGCAATGTGTAGCCTGTCAAAAGCTTATGTTATGTAAATGACTTTGGAACTGCCCTTAACTTCTTTCCTTCAAATACTCACTATTGGGAGGTGGACAGATTCAGAGCAGCATGAATACTGGGACATCTGGACTGTAGTCCTCAACCTTGGCCCAAATAAACTTTTTTTCTTCATGTATTTTGGCTCAGGTTTTTCCTCTCAGGTTAGCATAACTTTGTGAATGTTCCCAGCCACCAAGTGAGACCAGAGGTCACTGCCTATACTTCCTGTCATGACTCCATGACAGGCAATTGACAATAGGTGCTGAACACTGTTTGATGATTTTACTTAGAAGTGAAAAAACAAAAATAAAGGAAATGGAAGCTGTATAAAGAGATCCTTTCCCAAATCCTTCATTGAGTCAGGGTATCACTTCCATTTGGTAATTTTTTTTCAATCAAGTGTGTCACCAGAGATATTGAAGGAGACTGATCAATGTTTTCCTAGAACTACATTTTGTCATTTTCCTTCTCTGATTGAAGTCTCTTACCATGGTTTAAAGCAGTCCTACTGACACATCGTGAATGATGGGTTCTGAGATGCATCTTAAGTAACTTGGTATTATTAACACTGTAATTAAATTATGGCAATAATTTATTTTTAACAAATTAATTAGATTGTGTTTGTTAAGTGAAAACTATACATTATTGTTTCGGACTAAGTTGCTGCTCTGTACCACTAGACCAGACCAAAATGGAGTCACTCATGCTATTAATAAATGCCACATCATCAAACTGACTCTTTAAGGAAGCTGACAGTTCCCAAAATAGGCCAGTTTTGTTTTTCCCCCTGAAAACAGGAGACTCCAGTCTCTGTGGGTCAGCACTGTAAGGAAATACACACATCTGTGGCTTTATCAGGGATGAGCATCCCAAACAGCTCAAGATGCTGCCTGGACTCATCGACCTCGTCTTAGGAACATCCTCTTGTCCATTCCTCCTCTGCCTTCTGGAGTCACGGTCTCCAGCAAAGTGACTCGGATCACTGCTGGTACAAGGTTCTCAGCTATTTTCCTTCTCATCTGTGACTCTGCCTTTGAAATCCCCCTGGCATCTGAAGGCCAGCTCACACATCGCTCCGGGCAACTTGGACCCTGTACTGCCTGGGTGACAGGGCCCAGGAAGTGTCTGTGTTGCTTCGCCTTGGCCTTCTTTTCGGCTGGTCTCTTGTCACCACTCCTAGCGTCTCCACAGATTCTCTTGGTCGCTGAGAAAAGGACAGAACCGCAGCAGAGGAGGGGGCTTGGGCGCAGCCTGGAGCCTACCTTACCTTCCGCCAAGGGAACACGTCCGGGCTGCGGACGGAGACGCACTGCAGGTGCACGTGCCAGCCGGGCGGGGCGGGGCGCGGCCCTCGGCCCTCGTCCCGCTGCCCCTGATGCCCTCGCTCCACGTGCCCGCAGACTGGCACACCTGCTGCTTGAGAGGCGCGTAGTGACAGCGACAGCCACAGTGCGGGACTCGGGGCCCTTCGGCCGACCTGGCGCTGGTCATTTAGAACATGCGGACCAGGTGCACCTCTGCGCCCAGCGGCGCGGTCGGCGTCTCCCTTCGTCGGGCGCTCACTGCGGCCCGTCTGTCCCACACCGCGGCCCCGGGCGCCCCGGTCTCCTCGCCCGGCTGCTTTCCCGAGCTCGCTGAGCTCACGCGGCAGAACGCGGCCCACGTCCGGCCTTCCTCGCGAGTGCGCAGGGCTGACCCGGGCAGAGCCGTAGCGCAAACGCTGCGGAAGGGCCAGTAACGCCAACCCGGCAACGCGCGGTTGCCTGGCCAACGGACCCGACGTTTGGCTCCTGGCGCCTGCGCGCCAACCCCTCTTTCCCCGCGCACGCGCACCTACTACTCCGCGCCTGGGGGCCACCCTGGCTCTCTGCGCCTGCGCACCTCTCTCTTTCAGCTTACCCAGCGCCTGCTTGACAGGCCGCGAAGGGCCCGCCCCCTCGGCCGGAAGCGGAAGTAAGCTCTGTGGCGCGGCTTAGGCGGCCGAGGGCGGAGCGGACGCATCTGCTGCGGGAGCTGCGCACATCTAGGGAGGGGTGGGCGTCCCGGGAGGCCTCGGCGGCTCGCGGCCTCGCGGGCCATCGTCTTCGGTCCACGGCCGCGCGGGGGCCGCGACCTCGCTGCGCTCGGACCCCGGCCGCGGCTCCTTGCCCGACCTGCCGGTCTCGGTGTCATCTCTGAACCGATGCACCTGTCCCTTCGGGCCGCGCACTCTGCTGGTCGCCCGAGGAGCGGCCTGCAGCCTCCCTCGTGTGTCCCCGCGTTGCCCTTTCCCCTCCGGCACCTCTGTGGCATCTCGGTGTGTCGTTGTCTGGACTTCGGGCAGAGCCCTGGCGGCGTTCCCGACCTCGACACCCCTCGTCTGACTGCTGCCCTGCTCTGTCCTGGAGCTGCCAGGGCCCACCGGCCCGCCCGCCGGCTTCGTTTCAAGACCACCTTTCCTCCCGGGCTTTCGTGTCATTTCTTAACCACCTCATCTTTGAGACCGAAATCCGGCCTGCCGAGAAGACTGCTGTAGGTGGTGTCGGAGGCCACTTGCTTTTTTTTTAAAGCATTCTGAGTTCTACCCCACCCCTGAACTTGAGCCTGGTAGCATTTACGGGGCAGCTGTATATAAATCTAATGAAGTTCAGGCGTCAGGCCCCTCGCCTTTATATGCCCCTAAGGCACTGGGCTTGGTCTCGTGTTTATGCTCTGTAGCATTTGAAAGAGCAACCTCAAACGGTGTGTTTCAGGCACTTCACGGCGTGATATCTGCACCGTGGCTGTTTGAGGTTTGCGTGACTGGCCGCCTCCTGCTCCTTCGCCGTGCGGGCGCCTGTCGTGGTGCCTGGACGGGAACAGCTGGAGCGCGGCGTCAGTGCCTGGTAATACGGCGCTGGGACTCCTTCCCACCCGTGTCCCTGCTGAGTTGTCGCCTTCCAGGAGGTTGGTGGTGAGGAGGGTCCACTTCATTGAGGTCACCGAAACTGCTCTTAGCTCTGTGGGAACTAGGTTATAGACTGTAGACGTGTATTCAAAAGAATTTATTGCAGCCTTTCTTTTTTAACTTTGAAAATAAAGCCATCCTAATAACTCATATAAATTCATTACATGTATTTTAATTTATTTTTTAGACATCAGTTTCTTTGTAAGATGTTGTATTGAAACAACCTTCAGAGATTCACGTGTTACTTAAAGTTTGTGTAACTACAATAGGATTTGGCTGACTCTGGCTGGCTAATTGGACTTCATCCAGTCCACTCTTCCTTCTTGACAGTATGCTTTGTTTTGCCTAGCCAAATATAGTATCTGTTCTGTCTGCAGGGGGGGATACACACACACACATATATGTATATACATACACACCTATACGTACACACATATGTGTGGGTATGTATACACATACCTATATGTGCACACACACACATATAAAATGAGGCTTTTTTTTTAATGTCAGAGGGTGGGACCAGCAGATAGCGTAACGGCTACATTGCTGGACTCCCATGTAGTTGACCGCAGTTCGAGTCCTGGACCTGGTAGCTTAAACTCAAGCCGGGTGCATGTGTGTACATGCCCCAGATCCCAAGAAGAGAATGGAAGAGAAGGGATTGCAGCACGGCCATCCCCCCAGGGAGTGATTTCTCGCTTTCTGTCCTCTGACTCTCTGTCTTTCTGGCACTTGCACATGCCCTATAAAAACCTCCCCAAAAAAAGAAAAACTGTCAGAGGGTACGTGCCAGAGAGGAGGCATCCCCAGTGCAGCCCGAGCATACTGCAGCCTATTTCCTCTGTTTCCCCATCTCTTCACGTACCTGGCTGCACACACATTGCCAGGTATGTTTTCCAACTGTCAGGGCTGGGATTTGAACTGTGGTTGGCCATGTGGGATTTGGCTCCCAGTGCTTAACAGTGCTTTGGGGTGGGCCCTATAATGTGCTTTTGAAAGATATTTATTTATTTATTAGTTTTGCTCTAGGGTGTGTGTGCTTGCCTCTGCTGGAGAGAAACAGAAAGTAAAAAATCTCACTCCTTTGTCCCGGGAGGCCTCGGCGGCTCGCGGCCTCGCGGGCCATCGTCTTCGGTCCACGGCCGCGCGGGGGCCGCGACCTCGCTGCGCTCGGACCCCGGCCGCGGCTCCTTGCCCGACCTGCCGGTCTCGGTGTCATCTCTGAACCGATGCACCTGTCCCTTCGGGCCGCGCACTCTGCTGGTCGCCCGAGGAGCGGCCTGCAGCCTCCCTCGTGTGTCCCCGCGTTGCCCTTTCCCCTCCGGCACCTCTGTGGCATCTCGGTGTGTCGTTGTCTGGACTTCGGGCAGAGCCCTGGCGGCGTTCCCGACCTCGACACCCCTCGTCTGACTGCTGCCCTGCTCTGTCCTGGAGCTGCCAGGGCCCACCGGCCCGCCCGCCGGCTTCGTTTCAAGACCACCTTTCCTCCCGGGCTTTCGTGTCATTTCTTAACCACCTCATCTTTGAGACCGAAATCCGGCCTGCCGAGAAGACTGCTGTAGGTGGTGTCGGAGGCCACTTGCTTTTTTTTTAAAGCATTCTGAGTTCTACCCCACCCCTGAACTTGAGCCTGGTAGCATTTACGGGGCAGCTGTATATAAATCTAATGAAGTTCAGGCGTCAGGCCCCTCGCCTTTATATGCCCCTAAGGCACTGGGCTTGGTCTCGTGTTTATGCTCTGTAGCATTTGAAAGAGCAACCTCAAACGGTGTGTTTCAGGCACTTCACGGCGTGATATCTGCACCGTGGCTGTTTGAGGTTTGCGTGACTGGCCGCCTCCTGCTCCTTCGCCGTGCGGGCGCCTGTCGTGGTGCCTGGACGGGAACAGCTGGAGCGCGGCGTCAGTGCCTGGTAATACGGCGCTGGGACTCCTTCCCACCCGTGTCCCTGCTGAGTTGTCGCCTTCCAGGAGGTTGGTGGTGAGGAGGGTCCACTTCATTGAGGTCACCGAAACTGCTCTTAGCTCTGTGGGAACTAGGTTATAGACTGTAGACGTGTATTCAAAAGAATTTATTGCAGCCTTTCTTTTTTAACTTTGAAAATAAAGCCATCCTAATAACTCATATAAATTCATTACATGTATTTTAATTTATTTTTTAGACATCAGTTTCTTTGTAAGATGTTGTATTGAAACAACCTTCAGAGATTCACGTGTTACTTAAAGTTTGTGTAACTACAATAGGATTTGGCTGACTCTGGCTGGCTAATTGGACTTCATCCAGTCCACTCTTCCTTCTTGACAGTATGCTTTGTTTTGCCTAGCCAAATATAGTATCTGTTCTGTCTGCAGGGGGGGATACACACACACACATATATGTATATACATACACACCTATACGTACACACATATGTGTGGGTATGTATACACATACCTATATGTGCACACACACACATATAAAATGAGGCTTTTTTTTTAATGTCAGAGGGTGGGACCAGCAGATAGCGTAACGGCTACATTGCTGGACTCCCATGTAGTTGACCGCAGTTCGAGTCCTGGACCTGGTAGCTTAAACTCACGCCGGGTGCATGGGTGTACATGCCCCAGATCCCAAGAAGAGAATGGAAGAGAAGGGATTGCAGCACGGCCATCCCCCCAGGGAGTGATTTCTCGCTTTCTGTCCTCTGACTCTCTGTCTTTCTGGCACTTGCACATGCCCTATAAAAACCTCCCCAAAAAAAGAAAAACTGTCAGAGGGTACGTGCCAGAGAGGAGGCATCCCCAGTGCAGCCCGAGCATACTGCAGCCTATTTCCTCTGTTTCCCCATCTCTTCACGTACCTGGCTGCACACACATTGCCAGGTATGTTTTCCAACTGTCAGGGCTGGGATTTGAACTGTGGTTGGCCATGTGGGATTTGGCTCCCAGTGCTTAACAGTGCTTTGGGGTGGGCCCTATAATGTGCTTTTGAAAGATATTTATTTATTTATTAGTTTTGCTCTAGGGTGTGTGTGCTTGCCTCTGCTGGAGAGAAACAGAAAGTAAAAAATCTCACTCCTTTGTGGGGGATAGCCACGCTGCAATTCCTTCTCCTCCATTCTCCTCTCAGGATTTTTTGGCACACAGGCATACATGCTTGGTATGATTTTCAAGCCTCCAGGTCCAGAACTTAAACTGTGCAGTTTGCCATGTGGAATCCACCTCCTTAACCACATTCCACCTGCTGGCCCAGGACTTTTTATTAGTAGTTTTAAATCCACCAGATTTGGGACCAGCAGGTGACGGAGTAGTTAAGGTGCTGGACTCACGTGGTTGACCATGGTTGGAGTCCTTGGACCCAGAAGCTTAAATCTCACACCAGGCGGGCCCAAGATTTCAAGAGGAGAGAATGGAGGAGAAGGAATTGCTGCATGGCCATCTCTCTGGAAGGTGATCTCTCACTTCCTCTTCTCTGTCTGGCAAATGCACATGCCTGATGGCAAAAATATCTTAAAACAGAACAGAAAAGAAAAGCACCATGTTTGAGAGGTAACCATCTTCTTTTTACAAATAAGGAAAGCAGTGATTTATAGGGTTAAATGATTTAGTCAATAAGTCAGGGCCTTTGTTAGTCAAGGAAATCCAACTCCTGAGCACATGTTTTCTTCCTAAACTTATTACTCAAGGAAGATTTGCTCAGGCTAGCCCTGAGTAGAGCACATTTAACCTCTGTGAGCCAGACTGTTCTCACTACATCTGGATGCCCTCCTGGTCTGCACACTTCAGTGTCTGTGTGCACACATGTGTGCTGGGCTATGTATGTGTCTTCAGCGCATCTGGATGCCTTCCTCGGTCTGCACACTTTTGTGTATGCGCACACACATGTGCTGGGCTGTATAGACGCAGGGTATTTGAACATGCCTTGTTACTCTTGCTTATGGCCTGTACGGGGACTCCTCTGCTATTCCTTGGGGGTGTTTTTGTGTGTGTGTGTGTTGGTGTGTTTCTGCTCTTAAAAAGGTTTTCTGTGCTTTTGCTCCCCACATTGTCAATCTTTGCTGTCAGTATGCCTGCCCGGAGTCACCCTTCCTGGACCTTTGCTATGGTGGCACCTGCAGCTCAAT